CACGAGCAGCCCACCATGGGATGTGTGCATGGCGTGTGTGTGTGTGCGGGGTGTGCCTTGGGCCTGGATCATATAGCCACAAAACGCGCACAAGTCTCCTTGATAGTTGAAAGAACGGCATACGACCCGAAGGTCAAACAGCGAATTGCGATGGCCGACATGCCCGCACGTAAGCACGCAGAACAGTGCATGGTACGCTGTTCTGTATATGCATCTGTGTATTGATCAGTTTCCCGCGCTTTTTGTGCTGAGACAAGAGTCCTTGGCAACCTGGCAGCATCTGCTGCACACCCCGCCGCAAGCAAGCCGATGGTGCCTGCACGAGCCGAGGGAAGCGACCAGACGGAACAGGATACAGATTCGACCGCGCGCCTGTGCACGACGCTGCCACGCGCCAAGCACGATGCGTTCACGCCACGCTTGCTGGAAATTTGCGGCGCCGCCAGCGTCAGTTCGCGGTGCCAGGCCGACGTGCTGTTCATCCGCGACCGCCTGCACGAGCGCTGCGCCTTTTTTCGACTATGGCCTCCGCGGCTGCAGGCACTGGTGTGCCAGCTGGCGACCACAAAGTAAGCAGGCGGCGCGGCGGCCGAGGCACCCTGCAGCTGGTGCCCAGCCGCGCAGCGCGCAAGCATGCACACCGCACGGTCCCACTGGCCCTGCACAGGCATGCGCCAACGCTTTGCCCTGCGCAGGCACTGGGCAGCCAATGAGGTGATCCTGGGCCAGGGCAGCCGTCCGACGCACATGTTCATCCTGATTGAAGGGCGAGTTGCGGTGGCGATGCGCGACACTACACTGTACTGCGGCGGCGGTGGTAGTGCATGTGGCGCCAGCGCCCTGAAAGACATGGCACTGCTGGAGCCAGGCGACACGTTTGGGGAGGTGGCTCTGATGGTGAGCGGGTTGAGGAGCAGGAGAGGAGGAGGGGGGTGCCAGGGGTGTGGCTTGTCCAGGTGTTGGTCCAGCTGCGTGGTTCAGGGCGATGCCTGCTGCGTTCGGCGGAGTGCGAAGCAAAGTGCAGAACAGTTGGCTGGCACCTGCAGCCCGTTGCAGCCTGACCGGCAAATCACTTGATTCATGTTTGGCCTGCTCACAGGGCGTGCCGCGCCAGCCGGCGTTCGTGGTGGTTCGCAGCGGCAGGGCGAGCACTCTGATGATTGAAGCCGCGAGGCTGGCGGATCTGATGCAGCAGCAGCAGCAGCAGCAGCAGCAGCAGCAGCAGCAGCAGCAGCAGCAGCAGCAGCAGCAGCAGCAGCAGCAGCAGAAGGGGGAGGCGGGGGTTGGGCGGGGTAGCGAGCAGCAGCACCCACGCAGCAATTCGGCGCCTGGTGCGGCACCACACCTTCTCAGAGTCAGCGGCTGACATCTCAGAGTCAGCGGCGGCTTAATCGAGCCCTCAAGAGGCTTTTCAAGGCAATCTGGTTTGCTGGATGGATTTTGGTCCGAGTAATTGCGTGCGAAGTAAGAGTTGCAGGGTGGTCTCCAGCCTGGAAAGGACATCGCCGTGAGACAGCCGGTCTTCGCAGTCCACCCGCACGCCTCACCGGACAGACATGGGCAAACCCCTAGGCTGCAGTACCTGAAGATGACAAAACACTGATTGGCTGAAGGCGCTTATAACCAGGCTGCATGGAGATGCCGGGATGTGCAGTGTTTGTGATGCGTCGGGGATACGTAATACGCGACGCGCGAGACACCACCGCGACGATGCGCTCCGCCTTAACGCTTTTCCCGGGCAGTCAGAAATATTGTTAGTTAGTAATGTGGCATCTGAATTCAAAGACGCTTGAGGCGTGAATCGAGTTCGCGGAAGCCCCCCTTTGAACACATCGTTGCCCTCTGTGCTCCGCCTGCTCGCGGGTCTTTCGGGACTCAAAGCCTTGTCCCCCTTGGTTTCTTAACATACAAAGAAATTTCTGACCTGATTCATCACACTATCAAGCACACAACTATAATAGCCGTTTTTCACGAGATCAATCGTTGTCAGCCTGGTCGAAATCAAGCCCGCCGAGCCTATTATCATCCCTTGCATCACCATGATGCTGGCCCCAAGTTATGGCGCCCTGCTGGTGCAGGTGGCACCTGCACTTTCCCTGCTGCCAGCGGCCTTGCAGCAGTCCGGGCCTCTGATCGTTATGACCAAGCCCAAGCGTTCGTACGCTTCAATCCCTGCCAGCGGTGCCGTTGCCAGGTGAGCGTGGTGGCCGGGGGTCTCGGATTGTTTCACGAAGGGCACGACACGGAGACTTGTTCTCAAAACGCGATTCCCGCCTTTGATGCGCAGCTCCATGCCCATGTCTAAGCGCCCAGTCTCCAGAATCAGCGTTCGCTGGAGGTGAGACCTGCCGACCGCCGGCGAGTAATGTGCGCCGCCATGCTGCTGTTGCGCTGCTCGTGATGTTTGATCAGCGGGCCAGACACAAGGGGGACTTGTGTTTGCAGGGGTGTCCCAAGCTGCCTGTTCTTTGATTTCACCTCTGCACATCGCAAACCCCAACATACTTGTACGCGCAGCCCTTCGCGCTCCTTTGCAGCGAGCGCCGCTGAGCCGGCACCCGTGCGCGCCACGGAGACCACCGCCGAGCCGCGCCGTGCAGCCAAGCCCACCTCGATTGACGTCGCCAGGTGTGCTGCATCATGCTCCCCCCACCCAGTGCCTTTCACTCCTTTCTGTCCTATCCCTTGCGCCGGTTTCCCCTGTTGAGCTGATGTGCGGAGTCCAGAACAGGAGGACTGGCACCGAGCCCTGCATGGTGTCCGACGACCTCCAATTTGCACCCGTCTCCCTGCATGTCCCCTCAATGGGCCTGCGCTTCTCCATCCCTCTGGCTGTGCCGTCCCCTCCGCGGAACTCATAGGTACGTCACCGAGAACTTCACTCCTTACTACGGCGATGCAACGTTCTTGGCAGGCCCCACCGCCGCCACCCAGTCGCTGCAGACCATGGTGGACGACCTGCAGCACCTTGAGCTGGAAAAGGTGGGCGCATGGTGGTGCACATGAGTGCATGCATGCATGAGCACGTGTTTGCATGCGTGCATGTGTGCGTGCATGCATGAGTGCATGTGCGCGTGCATGTGCGCGCATGCGAGCGTCTGCATGTGGGAACACATACAGTCAGTGCGTGAGCACGCGCGGGAAGTTTTTGAGAATGAGTTGGATGTGTGACGATTTGCTGTGTTGGCTGCTGGTGGGTGGTGGATTTTCGTCTGTGGAACAGGATTCAGTGTGCATGGGGATGTTGGCGGGGAGGGGCATGCATGCGTGCGGCTTGCGCCGTGTGTGGCGCGTCGTCCACGTGATGGGTTGGGCAGAGGCGCCTTGCTCATGGGTGCTCGGGTATAGTGTGCTCGCAACGAGGGGCGGCCGGCTTTACTTGTTAGCTCGCAAATAAACAGCCTGGCGGCAGACGCACGGACGCACGACCAGCCGGCCCACGTGCCCACAAACAGTCACCTGCAACTTATCAAAGAGCAGCAGGTCTCCTCCACTTGCCCCTACTCAACTCCCCTTCCCTCTCTACCCCTACCCCTGACCTCATCTGCCCACGCCCATTTCTTGCACTCTTGCGCCCTCCAGGGCGGCGTGCTGGACGTTGACCCCAGGACGCCCTCCACCATCACATCCTTTGGCCCCGGCTACATCGACAAGTGAGCCCCAACCCCGCCCAGCCCTGGGCCCCGCCCTGCCCAGCTCGGTTGGCCCGCGGCCCTTTCGCCAGGCCCCTGCCTGAGGTCCGCGCACCTGCTGTCACCCAGCCTCCGCCGCAGGGCTGGACTTGTGGCGCGCGCGCGGCCAATTATCTGCCCACACTTGTATTTACCCATTGACCTCCCCTTGTGTCGGCCCCTCTCCCTCACAATTATCGCCCAAGGGAGAAGGAGGTGATTGTGGGCCTGCAGACCGACAAGCCCTTGAAGCGTGCCATCAAGCCCCTGGGCGGCATCAACATGGTCAAGGCCGCCCTTGAGGCCTTCGGATACAAGTGGGTGGAGGGTAGGGCGGGCAGGGCGGGGGAGGGAAAAGAGGGCGGTTTTGTATCGTGGGGCTTGCAAGGAGGAGCGCTGTGCAGCGCTTATGACCAAACCCCTGCGGATTCATGTGCGTCAACCTCTTGGCAGGTACATGCCATGCCATTTATGCGTGCGTTTTGTGCGTGAGTCACATGCACATGTTGCGTGTGCGCCAACATACGCATACATGCCGTCTCTCGCCCCCCCAGGCTGCCCGCCGACGTCAAGGACACGTTTACCAAGGCGCGCAAGACCCACAACAGCGGCGTGTTTGACGTCTACACAGACGAGATGAAGCGCGCCCGCAAGAGCGGCATCCTCACGGGCCTGCCCGATGGCTACGGCCGCGGCCGCATTATCGGAGACTACAGGTGGGCGGCTTTTTATGCGACCCTTTCTTTGTGGGGGCGGCACTCTTCTTCGGGGAATCGCAGGCGTGGCCGGGGGGGTTTTCTTTCGATGCCTGCTGGCGTCCAAAGCTGCATGACTGGGGGGAGGGTCGCTGCGCTCGGCAAAATCCACACTTACCCCCCACACCTTTGGAACCTGCCATACCGCCCCAAGAACATTGAATCCTGCCAAAACACCGCCGATTCATACTGTATGCCGCTGCTGCCGCCCAAACCTCTCACCCCCAGGCGTGTGGCGCTGTACGGCGTTGACGCCCTGGTTGAGGCCAAGAAGGCCGACCTCAAGAGCGTGCTGCTAGGGGTGATGGACGACGAGAAGATCCGGCTGAGGGAGGAGGTGCAGGAGCAGATCAGGCGCGCAAAGGGTGCTGTGCGGGCGGCGCGGCGCGCCCCCGGCTTAACGGCGTGTCTGCAGGGAGCAGGGCGTGGTGCCGTTGCTGCAGGGCTTTTCTGTTCTTAAAACACCCCGCACGAGCAGAGATCTACATGCGCATGGCAGGCACGCGGCCATGTCACCACATGGGACGTTTTCCTATACACCAGCTGCCCAAAGTGCCCAGCCTCGACTGCTGACCCTGCCGCGTGTGCGCCCGCTGCTGCCGTGACCACCCCCCCCTTCCTCCCCAGGGCGCTGCAGGAGCTCAAGGAGATGGCGGCCTCATACGGCCACGACGTGGGCCAGCCCGCCAAGAACAGGTGCGGGGCGCACCCGCCGCCACACTCACACGCCGCCGTGCGTGAGGGTGTGCAGCGCCGAATTATCCGTGCACCTCCCCGCACGCTGGCTTGGGGGCTTCGGCGGATGCCTTGCTTGTGCACACTGTGGCACCAGGAGTTGGGTGCCGCACGCGTACGCGAAAGCTCGCAGCGCGCTCCTTGCACTCGCACCAGAAACTTCGTGTAAATGCACACCCGCCTCACCTCCCCCTGTCTCGCCCCACGCACCTTCCCTCACCCCTGCCTGCCTCCAGCCGTGAGGCCGTGCAGTGGGTGTACTACGGCTACCTGGGCGCCGTCAAGGAGCAGGACGGGGCCGCCATGAGCATGGTGCGCGCGCGGGCACGGGGCGGCCCCAATGCAGTTGCACGTGCTTCATCAACGGTAGCCAACAAGGGTTGCAAGGAGTACCAATGGAGACGCAAGAGGCGTGCCGCGTCCAACAACCGTCAGTGACAAGGCACGGTTACCACCCTTCGCCGCCTGATTGCACACCACCAAAACTCGCACACCTTGGCACCCAACCGCAGGGCCGCATCGACGCGTTCCTTGACACCTACTTTGAGCGCGACCTGGCCGCGGGGGCTATCACTGAGGCGCAGGCGCAGGAGATGATCGACCAGTTTGTCATGAAGATGAGGATCGTCAGGTGGGGGTTGGACCAGCGGGGGGTGGGGA